CCCCAAAACCCCAAAACCCCAAAACCCCAAAACCCCAAAACCCCAATTTAAATATCGACTTAGGCATGTTGTTGGCCAAAATGGCTCCTTAAACCTTAAGTTTTCTCTATTTTAGGCATCTTGTAAGGAAGGGCAGGGCGATGAATCAGGAGATTATGACAATTCCTAGCAGGTCTGTTTTACCAAAGTTATACCCAAAGATTACAACATCTGCCAAAATTGTGAAAATGTTCTCTATGTAGATCATTGGGGCTAATTTTGAGGCAAGCTGGTAACTAAACGCCAGGGTCTGGAATCCTAGTCACATCGCACAGCTTAAGCCTGATAATGACATGAGAAAGATATCTTCATAGGTATATGCCTTTATGCCTCCTTGAACTATGATTGAGTATATTAGTAAAGTTAATCCTGCATAACATGGTCTTAGTGTATAATGAATACGAGCTGCTCCAAGAATACGCACAGTGATGAAAACAAGTCCTTGGAAGATAGCAGCTCAAACTACAATTATAGTTCCAAAAACAGGGCTAGATTTTGAATTATTAGGCTCATCCTTCATTGTTAGGAGGTAAATTCCGATCAATGACCCTCAAGCAGAGATTATATAAACTTTTTCAATTGACTCTTTCAGAATAATGCCAGCAAGAATAATTCAGAATATTGGGTTAATATCAAAAATGAGGACTGCCTTTCCTATTGGGATCAAAGAGACTCCAAGAATCATTAGATTATTTATCCCAAGAGCTCATAGAAGACTCATTCAGAAGGGCCAAAAATAATCTCTAAATAGGAAAGGATTTAAGCTGATTCTGTCTTTAGTTGTCAATAAAGCGAAAACAGCAAAATTAATAGCCCCCACAAAAAGTACTCAATCATTATTATTCAGATTGGAGTTGCGAAAAGTAGCCAGCTTAGCAAAGAAATGATAAAGAGTCATTCCGACCACAGATAAAAACATTCAAATAAATCCTTTCAAAGGTTGTATTTTGGTTTGGTCTACATCACTCTGAGAATGAGACCCAATATTCTCCAAATCAGCATCTCCTGTATTCAGATTCTTCTTTGTTGAAGAATTTCGATGAGTCTCTGATTTACTAAGTATCATCTTCTGATTCAATCAATCAAAACTATGAAATTCATCGTCAACTTCAAACGAGTGGCCTGAGAAGTGCTTCATTTTTATAAAGAGATTCAATAAATCTATTAAAATTGATTCAATGTATCTTAGATAAATCGGGGTTTTGGGGTTTTGGGGTTTTGGGGTTTTGGG